TGTGTGTGTGTGTGTGTGTGTGTGTGTGTGTGTGTGTGTGTGTGTGTGCTTGTCTTCATGCGTACACCTGCATACACATGCTTACTATGCTGAGGATAGAATCCAGGGTGTATGCGTGTTGTGCTAGGGATCATACCAAGGATTTATGCATGCTAAGCAAGCTCTCTACTACTAAGCTACACCTATAATACTGGTCCTTCTCTTAAATCTCATTCTCCTTTGAATGTAGCATCCTAAGTAAGGAAAGAGGACAACATCCTGAGAAAACAGCTCAGTGCTGCTTGAAGCTCAATTTTAGGGATGCCCTAGAGCTTTTAGGGCCAATGAGGAAAAAGAATGGTTGTTGCTTCTCATTTCCATTCCATAGAAAGATGTGTTTCTTGGGTCACTGAGAATTGTCTGGGATCCCATTTGCAGATCTGCTTTGTGTGCAAGAAAAAAGGAGCTGCTATCAGTTGCCAGAAGAACCATTGCGTCAGAAACTTCCATCTGCCTTGTGGCCAAGAAAGGGGTTGCCTTTCACAATTTTTTGGAGAGTACAAGTAAGTGAAGGAGTAAAGTTAGTTAAGCTGCCCCTTTGCAACTTGCTGTTTAGCCACGTAATGAAATCAGAACTGAGTTTTCACAGGCCTGTTTCGATTCACCAACAAATCTGTCCCTCCACTCAATAATGGGAAACAGTGTCTTGACTTGGATATTTCACAGGGGTTTCTTCTTGCTTCCTGTCCCCTCCTTAAATTGCAAACAGCTGGGGTTCACAGACAGCTGCTCAGAACTAAGTGGGGTTTTTAAGAATGAGAGGTTGGGGAGACAGCCGTGGGAGCTTTGCTTGGGGGAAGAGTAGCCGTGAGAAAACATGGGGCTGTTCTTCACCCTGCTTATACTCCTCCCCAAATGTGGAGGTTCACTGAGCACTGGCCTGGATGACTGATTTCTTAACCGTCCTAGGCCAGGCAGCTGGGAGTCTGCATCAGTGACAATTCTGTTTACCCTGTCATAGATCATTTTGTGGAAAACATCGCCCAACACAGAACATCCATCAGGGGAAATTGAGGGAGGAAAACTGCGTCTTATGTTGTGAAGACTTATCTCAAGCGAGTGTTGAGAACATCCAGAGCCCATGTTGTAGTCAAACTATCTACCACCGCAAGTGCATCCAGGTAGGGCTTTCTCTACCCTGGAGGTGGAGTGGCCTTCCACGGTTACCCTAGTTCCCTGCATGAAACACTCAGGCAAGCTTTAATTCAGCACTCCAGGCTACAGGCCTATATATAAGACTGCTTCTGATCAGTGAAAGTAGCCTAGACTCTGGCCATCCTTGGACCTTAGCATCTCATTCATGATAAGACAGGCTGAGCAAAATCCTCTGGATAGGTGCTGATGACTTACATCTGTAATCCTAGCTTCTCAGGAATCCGAGATCTATGGATTGCAGTTCGAAGGCAGCCTGGGTAGGAAAATCTGTGAGACCTTTATCTCCAATTAGCCACCAGAAAACCAGAAGTCTCAAACTGGCAGAGTGCTACCCTTTAGCAAAAAAAGCTCAAGGATAGCACCCAGGCCCTGAGTTCAAGCCCCATGATCAACAACAAAAATTCCTCTGGATTGCTAGAGCAAGTAGACTCATCCCAGAATTAATCAAGTAGCTTCAAAATCAGCTTCATTACTGGGATGAAAGAAAAAATGTATTCAGGCACATGACCCCTACTTAGCACCATTAAGACCTGTGGCCAGAAATGATAATTAAGGCACTCTGGGAACTATTTTGAAAGCATTTTGGTTCCAGACTTGACAAGTGATTTTGCAACTTTCACCCTAGTCTACCCAAACTGCTTTTCCTGAACACCACCCCCTATAGGGTAAGTGTGGGAATGGGAAGAAGGTAGTCAGTGTTTGACAAACACAAAGCTCTTCCATGTTTCTTTTTGCAGAAATATGCCCACACATCAGCAAAGCATTTCTTCAAATGTCCCCAGTGCAACAACAGAGAAGAGTTTCCTCAAGAAATGTTAAGAATGGGAATTCATATTCCAGACAGGTATTATTCCACAAGAATTATTCCAGGGAGTGAGTTGCCTAGATTTTTAGAGAGGAGATAAGTCTGAGAATAATTTGGACAATGAGCACGGTGAAGGAAGGTATGGATAGATGGTAAGGAGAGTGCTTTGTAGTTACCAAAATAAAAGGAAGGAGCAAGGTGCTGGTTTCTCACACCTGTAATCCTAGCTACTCAGGAGACTGAGAGCTGAGGATCATAGTTTGATCTAGCCCAAGCAGGAAAGTCTGTGAGATTCCTATCTTCACTTAACACCAGAAAGCTGGAAATGCAGCTATGGCTCAAGTGGTAGAGTGCTATTCTTGAGGGAAAAAACCCTCAGGGACAGTGCCCAGGCCCTGAGTTCAAGCCCCAGGATTGGTGAGAGAAAGGAAGGGGAAGAAGGAGAAGAAGGGGAGAAAGGAAGGAAAGAAGAAGAGGAAGTAGGGAGAGGAGGAAGAGGGAAGGGAGGGAGGGAGGGAGGGAGGAAGGGAAATGAGCTGAAGGCATGTTTCTGAAATGGGTACTTTGGGGATCAGAATTCCCTGGGGGATTGGGTTCTTGAACTCTAGGGTGAAACTGAAGAACCCCTGTGTAACATTCCCACATCCCTCTCCCACAGCCCCCCAGCCTTGGTGAACTTGTGCTGTACTTAGCTGTGCTTAGCTTGGGTCATTAGTTCCTTCCTGGTGGACAAGGAAGATTGTATGTTTTTTACTGTGTTTCTTCTCCCACTGCAGAGATGCTGCCTGGGAACTTGAACCAGGGGCTTTCTCAGAGTTATACCAGCGCTATCAGCATTGTGATGCTCCAACCTGTCTGTATGAACACGGCAGAGACAGCTTTGAGGATGAAGGGTAGGGAGAAGCTCCTGGCTAGAAAGCTCTTATGAGTGTCATCTTGGAGTTAGATTTTGGCACAATTATTAGGAGAAACAAATTCCTCCTGCCTTCAAACCTTTGGATGCTTAATTGTTAAGTCCCATTTTTTAAACTTTAATTTTTTGTTATTATAAAGGTGATATACAGAGCTAAGTCCCATTCTTGACCAGCCCCCAACTTACTATATACAGACAGGTCTCCTTTGCAAGGTCTACTTCTGATGCTAGTAAAGAAACATGCATGACTAATTCCTTTCCAAATCCATCTTGTAAAGGGCTATGCCTACTTGCAGGCTCCTGGAATTACCATATTCAGGCTCTCTAAACCTCAAACCCGTGATGGTTGAAATGTATAGTTAAAAAAAAAGCCTAAGGCGAGGCACTGGAGGTTCACACCTACAATCCTAACTAGCCAGAAGGCTGAGATCTGAGGATCACAGTTCAGAACCAGCCCAGACGGAAAAGTACATGGGACTCTTCTCCAGTTAACTAGCAAAAATCTAGAAGTGGGGGTGTGGCTCAACACACACACAAACATATATATGTACACACATACACATACACACAGAGCCCAGGAAGCATTTCACATTGCTGAGGTTGGCCAGCAGCAAACATCTCTCTTTGGCTCTTCCTATAGGAAGTGGTGCCTTATTCTGTGTGCTACGTGTGGATCCCATGGAACCCATAGAGACTGCTCCTTTCTTAGATCCAACGGCAAGAAATGGGAATGTGAGGAGTGTTCACCTTCTGCTTCAATCACAGGTGGAGCTGGAAGGATGGTTTGGTCTATAAACTGAGATAGGGCTGGGGACTTGTGGTGCTTGGGAATGGAGGAAGCATTCCCAAGAGAGGGGCTTTTAGTGGGGTCTTTAGCTTTGGAAGGAAAATGATTTGGGCAGGGCCTAAGGACCTGCACCTGGGAGAAACAAAGTGCTTAGTTTTCTTTTCCCCCCTTTCTTTCACCAGACTATGTACCTGAAAACTCAGATGACATCCCCTGCTGCAGCAGCACCTTCCACCCCCAGGAGCCACTCTGCAGAGATTCCAGTCTGGGAGAGAATCCAGGCCCTTCTTGGAATGATTGGCCAGGAACTTCCTCGGTAGAAAATCCAGAGTCCTCTGATGGCAGGAGGAGCCATTCCTGGCAATCCAAGGGAATCAAAATCCCTAAGAGCTGCAAAAAATCCCAGTAACAGCTTCTGAGTAGTTGCTGCCAAACACAATTAGGTATGAAGTAGCACTCCACCATTGGGCTTGGGGGAGGAGGGAGCATTTGGGGACTGTGAGACAGGGAAAGAGGGCCAGCAGTAAGACTATGAGCCAAGCAAAGAAACCCCAGGAGAGTGTGAGGGAAGAGCAGAGTCAAGATGCCAACAGCCAGATGTATTTGTGGCTCTGAGAGTGCCTTTGCTCTTTCCTCCCAGTTCTCTTTCTTCCACCTTAATCTGGTTCTCATATGCCTCTTCTTACTTCACTCATGCTTGTTATTTTGCAAATAAAAGTTTTCTCTCCATTGATGTCTCCTTATAAATTCACTCTGGAACTTGTTTAAAATGCCAAAGAGCCTGGACACTAGTGACTCATGCCTGTAATCCTAGCTGCTCAGGAGGCTGAGATATGAGGATCACAGTTTGAAGCCAACCCCGGGCAGAAAATCCATAAGACTAATCTCCAATAAACTACTTAGAAAAATCCAGAAATGGTGCTGTGGCTCAAGTGGTAGAGTGCTAGCCTTGAACACAAAGAGACTCAGGGACAGTGTGCAGGCCCCAAGTTCAAGCCCCAGGACTGACCAAAACACAAACATTAAAGAGTCTGGATAAAGTAACAGAAATTGAAAACTTACCCTTTTAATAGCATAAGGAAAGCTATTGGACAGTAATGAGGATAGGAGGAGCCAGGAAAGAGCAATAGGTAAGGTTTATCTGACTAAATTATGTGCATATATGAATTACCATGGTAAACCTTCACATAATTAATATATGCTGGTACAGAAATGAATCACAGGAAAAGTAAACTATGCTATGTTGGGGGAGCAAGTATCATTGAAAAGAAGAAGGACCAATAGAAGGTGACTGGCAAAGTAGTTTATATGCATGTGTGAAAACAGCAATGAAACTTGGTGGAACTGATTTAAGAAGGGGAGAGGGTGGATAGAGGGAGAGAGATGCAAGTGGTAAATTTGATTGGGGTACATTGTACATATGAAAATTACACAAATCCCCTTGTATCACTAATATATGCTAATAAAAATCTTTTTTAAGAAATTCACCCTTCTAATACATAAAGTTTAGTATTTAATATAAGACTTTCAAGATAGAACATAGATGTGTTTCTTTTTCCTTTTTCTTTTTCTCTTTTTTTGTTGGTTGTGGGGCTTGAACTCTGGACCTGGGCACTGTCCCTGAGTTCTTCAGCTCAAGGTGAGCACTTGAGCCACAGCGCCACTTCCGATTTTCTAGTGGTTTATTGGAGATAGGAATCTCAAAGACTTTTCCTGCCTCAGCTGGCTTTTAACCAGGATCCTCAGATCTCAGCCTCCTGAGTAGCTAGGATTACAGGCGTGAGCCTCTGGTGCATGGCATAGATGTATTTCTTTGGGAGGTAGTTATTCTGTAGGGAAATATTCTAGGGACAGAAATTCTTATCCTTGTACAAGTAAGTACAAGGTAAGCCAGAGCTGAGCACTGGTGGTTCATGCTTGTAATATTAACTACTCAAGAAGCTGAGACTTGGAGGATTGTGTTTTGAAGCCAGCCTAAGCAGAAAAGTCAGACTCCATCTCCAATTAACCAGCAAAACTTGGGCAGGGGGCATGGAACAAGTGGCAAGAAAGCTGAGCAAATGCTTGAGGCTGATTTCAGGTCTGAGTACCAGGAGGGAAAAAAGGAAAAGAAAGGGAAGGGGAAAAAAAGGGGAGAGGAAGAAAGGGGAAAGGAGGAGAGGAGAGAGGAGGGAAAGGAAAAGGAAAAAGGAAAAGCCAGCCACTGATGGCTCATGCCTGTAATCTTAGCTACTCAGAAAGCTGAGATCTGGGGATGGTGATTTGAAGCCAGCCTGGGCAAGAAAGTCTATGAGACTCATCTCCATGAAACTACAAAAAAAAAAAAGAAAGCCAGAAGTGGAGTTGTGGCTCAAGTGATAGAGCACTAGCCTTGAGTAAAAGTTGCTCAGGAACAGCACCCAGGCCATGAGTTCAAGCCCCATGACTGGCACCAAAAGAGGGGGGGGGCGAAAGAGAGAGGGGAAGAAGAAAGAAAAAATGAAAGAAAAACCAACATAGTAATCCACATAAGTGAGAACAGGTCCTTGTTGCTAGGCTTGGGGCCCTCAACTCAAACGTGTTGAAATGCATGTAGGATAGTCATAGCACACTCCACAGCTGGGGTAAGCCACTCAAACCTCTCAGTCCTGGTAGCTTGAGCATTTCTGTCTATAATGTATGGATTTTCATGCCAGGACATTCATATTAGGCAAGGCATCTAGGATGAGGATGTGACAAAAAGCCTAGGGAGAAATTTGATAGAGCCTATCTAACATTTGTATGTTTTCAATGATTTCATGGGATCTGGATAAGTGAGGGAAATTCAGAAACCTTGCCAGATACTGAATTCTCAGGGTTGCACTGAGTCATTGTCACTTAATAGTAGAGGACAGTGTTCTCATTCCAAATATTGCTGAGTCCTGCAGACTTAACATCCAAGATGTATACAGTGATTGCCTTCAAATCTGACCAGATTCCCTTAGACTCAAACGAAGAGTGTCAGTGTTTTGTTACTTTCAAAGTATTTAGGCAACTTAACATATACTTTTAAAAGTTTAATATAGCTAGTTGTGAGGCTTACTGGTAGAACATGTGCTTACCATGTGTGCAAGGCTTGGGCTCAACCCCCAGCACACAAAGTCTAATGGTACGAAAAGGATTATAATGAAAAATGGTCTCAATTTACCCTTCTCTAGTTCCAGCTCTACTCCCTAGAGACAACTACTTGCCATTTTTTTTGCAGTTCCTTAATTGGTTAAGCTTAGACATTATTGACTTCTATTGTGTTGTATAAAGACTTAGAAAGCTTTAAAAGCTTCCCACTTTATGTAAACTTGTTCAACCACTCTAGAAGCAGTATGGAGAGTCCTCAGAAACCTAAACACAGAACTACTGTGATCCAAAAGACTACAAACTAGGATACAGTAAAGACACTTGCACAACTATGTTTTTGCAGCACTATTCACTATAGCCAAAGTATGGAATCAGCTCAAATGCTCCACAATGAATAAATGGATCAAGAAAATGTGGTATGTATTATGTATGTATGTATGTATGTATGTTTGTATGTATATATAATGGAATTGTACTCATCCATTAGATTTGTATCATTTCCATCATTTGCAAAGAAACAGAAGGAATTGGGGAAAAAATCATGTTATGTGAAGTAAAGCACAGAGAGACAAAGGATGTTTTTCTCATAAGTGGAATCTAGAATTAATTTATAAATATATAAGCAAACAAACACTTTGGGGAGGTATTCAACAGTATATAAATATATTAACCAGCGCTGGAAGGTGGCTCAGTGGTAGAGTGCTTGCCTTGCATGCATGAGGCCCTGGTTCGATTCCTCAGCATCACATAAGCAGAAGAAAAAAAAAGCCGGAAGTGGCGCTGTGGCTCAAGTGGTAGAGCGCTAGCCTTGAGCTGAAGGGCTGAGGGACAGCGCCCAGGCCCAGAGTTCAGGCCCCACGACCGGACCAAAAAAAAAAAAATATATATATATATATATACACATATATATATATATATAAACCAAAATATGGTAGATTCAGGGAGGAACTCAAACAGTGTAATTCCTTAGAAAGACTAACTCATAGTCCAACAAAACAAACACTAGAAAAATGGATATGAAAAAGTGGGGGATGAGATCAAGGGTAAACAAATGAAGAGAAGATGAGAGAGAATGTAGTCATAAAATATTCAATGTATATTCTATGAAAGTAAGAAAATTGAGGGAAGGAATGAGTGGGGTTGAGAAGGACAGGAAAGAATGTTCAAAGGGGTGACACTGATCAAGACGCACTGTATTCATAAACTGTTTTGTTGCATGGTAACTCCTTCATACAACTACTTAAAGATAATAAAAATGAATTTATCAACCAGTAAAAAATAAAAGCTTCCTCCTTTTACACTCCTTATCTTAAATAGTTGTATTACAATTCTTTATTAGCTATTAGTTACATTATTATGATTATGTAAGTGCTGCTTATTTTGGTGGTTAATTGGAGATAAGAATATCATAAACTTTCCTTCTCAAGCTGGCTTTGAACTTTGATTCTCAGATCTCAGCCTCCTGAGTAGCTAAGATTACAGGTATGAGCCACCAGCACCCAGCTAATTCCATTCTTGTAGACTTGAAAATTCCTTAAACTTTTTGGGGCTGTTTGTTTCATATTGTCTGCTGATACTAGGACCTAAACTCAGGGGTTTGAACTTGCTAGGCTTCTTTGCTCAGCTTGCTTGCTCAGTTGGTGTTCTACCATTTGGCCATGTCCCTTCTCACTTTCGGTGTCCTCTGCTTGTATAGCCCCTGTCATTCTTCAGTCCTACAATTGTGGGTGTATCTCTCCTGCTAGATTGGTAGCCCAGGAAGGAACTGTTCTTCTTCCTCTCATGGTACCTAGTCTAGAATTCTCACCTTCAGTGGTAATTTAACATCTACCAATCCCGTGTGTGTGTGTGTGTGTGGTGTGTGTGTGTGTGTGTGTGTGTGTGTGTGTGTGTGTGTGTGTGTGTGTCCATCCCTCTATTCAGAAGTCTGTTGTTCTGCTACCAAACACCAGAGGACGCTGTTAGCACGTTGACAATTATAAACCTTGGACCTGAAAGGTGAGAATGGTCAATACAAAGCAAACTCCTATTTTAGTATTGCATAACATTTATTGCTCCTCACGTACTCTAAACATTTGAGTTTATTGATGTGGTATGTTTGTGTTAGGTTTAGAGATGAGTATAAAAGGTACTTATGACATTTCTACCACATGTCAAATCTTCAAACAAGACTGCCCTTACAGTCAACTGCTCCAGGCACAAAGTGACCCGACTAACCCAGCCACCTTTCTCCCATCCATCAAAAATTGTGAATTTCAGTCTCAAAAAGAATATGTGATATAGTTCTGTTCCTTTTCTGCACTGCCTTCCTATCATATACACCCATACATGCACACATACAGATACACACAGAGAGATGCACACTCACTTTCATCAGGGTCTTTGATACAAAGATTCTAGCCTCTGCAGACAGAACAGGAAACTGATATGGAAAAAAAACCAAACAGTACATCTACTGTTTCTGATCCCAGAGCCAGAGTTTCCAGGAGTGCCAGCTCCTTGTGTGCTCCCAGACTGGCTAGAGGTTAGTCAAGCGCTCCCAGGTGTGAGAAGGTGCCCTGGTTCCAAAAGATCTATTTTCAAGTCA